ATTTTCTATATCCACCTACACAGAGGCTCCCTTAATTAAACCTGATGCTGGCCACTCCAAACATCCCCCATAATCAATCCTGCCATCTCTCCACCCTCTACTGAAATCTGTCCTCATTGCAGAGTTATTGGTGGTGCCACTCCCTTCCGATACCTCGGTCTCTCATATCCACTGTCCCTCTTTGCTCATCATAGGCCTTCTCCTGCAAAAAGGACAGTGGGTCCAGCTCCTTTTCTCCTGGTGTTCAGAGGATGGACAAGAAAAAGATATTTCATTCTCTCCTAGGCTTGCGGGGATCGGAGGGAGGAGTTTAACAATAGTAGGGGAGAGGGACACCAGTCTGCCTTCCAGGTCTGACAAGGGCCAGAAGAAGCAGTAGTTGCAGACCCAGCAGAAACTTGCTGTTTTACAGCAGCCAGCTGTAAACTCTAGTGTCCCCCCGTGACTAGGCTGACCCTAAGCATATGAAGCAGCTCTCATTGGCTTCCCTTCCCTATTTCCCCACATTCTAATGGGGAATCAACAATCAGCAGGGGGTTTCACATTTCACTGCAGATATATAGGAAGGTCTGAAAACCTGTACTCTACAGGAAAAGCCTGGCAATGGTATTGGCAGACCTGCAACACAACTGCAGTGAATGTCAATTGGATTGCACTAATGCAACAGAGGCAAGAGTTTGGCTCTTCACATTTATTCTATTGTGATACTTAGCTCTAGCTCCTCAGCTGGTGTAAGTTAGGTAATATCACAGTGGTGATCTGGCCTTTATCATAAGTGAAGGTTCATCTCAACAACAATTTGGTTACCGTGCAGAATATTGTGGTGCTGCAAAGTGTTAACAGCTGCCATCAAGCTGTCTTTGCTCCATAGATCAGTCACTGACCCAGTAAAAGTCGAAGGGGCAGTATTAACCACCTTTTATTCAGACTAAAAGAAAGAAGCAGTTAAATGTCCCTTTTGTTTAGTGAAAACTGAAATAGGAACCCACCTCCCGAAACAAAACACAGTGTAGCAAAGCCAATCAGAAGCTACAAGGTGTGGCTGGAAGAGTTTCCCTGGGGACTGATTACAAATTCAGGGGGTACAGATTGATTGGTTGCAGCTGTGAGGGCAGGGAAGAAAGAGAAAGCATCAGACAGCATGACCTTGGGACGATGCCAAAAGACTTAGGCTACATCTAGACAACAAAGAAAAGTCGGAAAAAGATATGCAAATTGCGAACCGTAATCCATGTACCCTCTTCCGCTTTTCTTTCAAAAGAGGCTTTTCTAAAATTTTGCATATCTACACGGTGCTAAATTTTGGAAAAATCTGCTCTTTCGACACACCCCTTTTGCCTCGTAGAATGAGATTTACAGGGATGGTGAAACATTTGCAGGGCTCTCTCTACATATGTATCTAGCAGTGTATCCAGTGAATCATCCATCCAGGTTCTTAAAGCACACTCGCTGTAATTATAATTATGTATGTTACAAGAAGATAAAATAGAAGGGTTTTTCATCCTATAGGTCAAGAGTGTAATCTAACATGAAATCTATATGAAGATTTTAAACAACTGAGCATCCATGTTATAAAATTCTAATAGTAATGAATTCTAATAGTAATTAATTCATTGAATAAGAAATATTTTCTAATAACACCAGAGAGATGAAATAAAAATAAAAGCAGTGTCTTTTAAAAAAACAACATACATATTCATTTGTTAAACCACAAAACACATGTTTGGAGTGAGAAAAAGTACTGAAAATATTTTTGGATGTTAAAAATGTGAAGAGTGAGGCAGGTTTTTTTAAGGCACAGAATTAAGTTACTAGAAAAGAATTACTATTACTGCTCTTTGGGGGAGACAGCACTTATAAAACTATCTTTAGGCAGACTATCCAGAATTATTTACTATGTCTGGAGCAGGCCTTATAATTTGATTTCTCCCCTGCCCCTCGATGGTCTAGACATCCCCAAAGTCTGGATTAGGGCTCCCTTTTCGCAGGGTCAACCCGTCTGAGACTCGGTTTGTAGCTAGTGTCCCTCTATCAGGATAAATACAGCCTTCTGGCCTAGTAACATCATACTCTCCTCTTTCAGAATCACTCTGGCCCAGAGGCCTAGTCCACAGGGAAGTCACTCAAAGTGCCAGGGAGTGCAGTTACTATGGGGTGCAGAGGGAGGGGGACCCAGGTCCTCCCGCTCCACCGGGTCCCAGCCCAGGGCCCTGTTGGCAGGGAAGGATTCTGCTGCCTGCTCGGCAAGGATTCCAGCCAAAATGCAATGAGCTCCCGGAGGAAAATCCTCCACCCTGAGTCACTGCCTACAGCACGCAGCTCCACTTTCGGGGTGTTGCTCAATGGGTCAGAGCCACCCAGACAGCCTCCCTAGCTGGAACGGTCATTGGGGCTGCTGTGGTAGAGGTGGTGGCGGTGGCAGTAGCAGCTGTTCAGGGTCTCCAGCCTGAGCTCCTTCCTCTCCAGTAACCAGCCCCAACTGAGTGGCTCCCTGGGCTTTTATACCCTTCCTTCCCTGGGAGCATGCCCAGCAGGGCTGTGGGGGTGGTGCCTTTTCAGCCAGCTGGGCCAGGGCAACTCCCTGCTCCTTAGTTCAGGGTAGATAGGCCCTGTCACATCCCCCTATCACTCAGACATAATTTACTACTATAGGTGGCAATTCTGAGTCAGGTGTTGTGCTGCCCTTTAAGTAGCACATCACAGAACTCTCAGTCTAGGCAAAGTGGGGCTAAAGGCAGCATTAAGCCACCTTTGTGCCCTCTGAGTCCTGGTCTACTCTGTGGCTCTGTGGTCTAATTTAGAAAGTCCTCAGTCGACCTTATGGAAATCTCCTTAGACTACTGTGTGGGTGAGACAACTGCCCAGGATCTCTGGAGTGCTAAATTATGTGGTGCTGCTTCCCACACATCCACTACACATGATGCCCCACCCCACCCCATTCCATAGTGGATCTCAGAAATCAGTCTTATGGCTGTCTTCCTCAGTGCCTGTGATGGGGATTCCCCAGTCCCATCCCAGGCTTATAGGGTATATCTAGACACTGCAAGGTTAATGGAACTCAAGTCAGCTGACCTATGTTAGGAACCCAGGCTTAAGCATCTACATTGTATTCTAACCGTAGATTAAGAATTTTTGACCCATACTTGAACCTAGGGCACAGTATAGTGCATAGATCTGAGTCAAAGTAATCATATCTATCCCAGAACCTCTGCTGTATCCCATTCCCAAACTTGGCTGTTCTAGTGCAAGGAACTTGAGGCACTGTGGAAAAACACTATTGCCCAATCTACACATTCCAGGGAGCCTGAGCTGGCCACCAACACAACCTGCTAAACAGTTTTGTTCTGTGCACTCCCAGCTACCAGGGCCAGCAATATGGGAGAAGCACCTTTGGACAAAATTCACTTGCTTGCACTTTCATTACTGTGTCAGGAAGCTGGAAGAGGATCTGTGAGATACTGGTGAACATTTCAGCGGCTTTTTCCATCCCTTCAAAAGTACCTGGTGGATTTCTGAAGTCATAGAAGGAGGAATAAGTTGGTATCATAGATTCTCACTGGCAGATACTGCCCAATATAATTGGCATAGCTGCTGATGTTCTCTATATAGACTGTGCTTCTGGTGCAGGGCCACAAGCACAGACTGGTGAGACCCTAAAGTCCTGAAGACCTGGGATGACCATCAGTGGTCCAGAACTTTTGCATGAAGAAAGTCACATTTGTGGAGCTTTGTGAGCAGTTTGTCCCCCAAAATGCAGCCTAAAGAGACACATCTCAGGTCACCCTTGTCAGTCTAGCAGGGGGTTGCAACAATTGTCTCGAAGCTGGCTGCTGCAGGTCCATTGCCAACCAATGTGGAATTGAAAAGTTACCTGTGGGTAAAGCAGAGATGGAAGTAACTGAGGCAATCAGATGTTTGGTTTACCCTGAGATGTGGCCATTAAAGGTAGTCCAGAAATAATTGCAGGCTTTGAGAGAATGTGGTTTCCTAACTGCTACTGCTGGGACTCATGTCCCTATAGTCTGTTCTCCTCACAGAGTACATGAGTACATAAAAGACAAACGGTAGTACTACATTGTTATGCAGGTACAAGCAGACAAAAGAGACAGATTTATGAACGTCATAAATGTGGGAAGTACAGAAAAATTCATGGTGCCAGAGTTTTTCACTGCTCCAAGAAACTACTGGTATGGACAGGCTGAGATACTGTTCCTACCAAATAACATTGACATAAATAGTGTTACTGTTATTGTCTCCGCTGTTATTCTGGGGATCTCAGGAATCCTCTATTGACTTGTCTTATGAAACTATTCCCCCATTTCAGAGGCCTTTAAAAAAAAAGTTTAATTACACTCTCAGCATGTGTTGAATGGTTGCTGAATGTGATTTTGGCAGATTAAAATCACTTTGAAAGTTCTACGAATACATTCAAATGTCAGAATAGTCAGTGCTGCCTTCATTTTTGTGGTTTCCCGTGCTCTTCACAACCTTTGCGAAGCCAGAGGTGAGCCATTTCCCTTTGAATGTACCTATGACAGCAAGGGGAAGCTAAATCAATATCCTTAGTCAGAAAATGCAGCTGCCACTGAGGGATCTGGTTGCATCCAGACAGTAGAAGTAAGGGATGCTTTGTGTTCACCTTATGAACTTGCCTGGTCTATTTGAAGAAAGGGGAACAGTACCTGTTTGAATGTGCTTTGGGGAAAAGCTGGATGATTTTGGGGGGGTGGCAGTGCTTGGGAAGGGGTGATATTGATTATCCTGCAATACAAATCAGCACACCATGATGAAAAATGAATTTGATTGTGGTTGGGGAGGCACAGTGGCATTTGAATTGCTATATATAGGTACAGTAAATAGAGAAATACTGTTAGCTTTGTAATGTTTAATCATTTAATGTGTTTTTAGGTTTTTTAATAGGAAATCATGATATTATGCAGTGATAGTAATAACCTTTCTTGAAAACATAATATATATTATTTGTACACAGGTCTTAAAACACTAAACCAGTCACACAGTCTCATGCAAGTCAGCTGCCATTACAAAACCATACACTGAAAAAGAAAGGTAAGAAAAGAGTTAATACCCAACCTGATTCCCCCCCACCCCCGCATTGCTGCATGCCCCCTGGCCCCAAGTTTTTCTTTACCTTCTTTACATGTTTACCCCTCACTTTGAGAGGGGGGGAAGGAGTTTCTATATGAGAGGATTGGTGCTGGAAGAAGGAAGGAAATCTTCACAGCGTTTAGTTTCCCTGCCCAGCTGCTCCAGAGTCCCGAATGCATGGACAGTCCTGACATGGATTTGTCCAAGCTTCTGCTGGATGGAGGGTATTTTGCTGGGGCATCATGCCATGGGCAGGTGGCAGGAGCCAGTGCTCTTGCAGCCATTGTAGACAGGAGTTTTTATCAGCAATGCATACCATTATTGCAGTCTTTCATCCCTCTTCTTCTGGTATTGTACCTGCTGTTCAGCCCTCCCAAGAATATCAACTATAACTTCATCATGGGAACACTTTCTCTTGGAATGGTCTGTGAGGGTATGTTGGGCCACTGATCAAGTTCCCGAAAAACAGCAGTCAGTATAGGTTGAGGGGCCAAGCCCTGGGTTAGTGCAATTACAGAGTAAAAATAAGGGGGCTTTGCTTTGAGTCCAAGAGACATACCTTAGTGCACGTTCACGCTGCTCCAGCCTTTTTACACAATATAAAGGGACCAGTGTCAGGATTTCATTTTTTGGTTTCAGAAAACTGACATGAATATCTCAGTTCTTGCCTGTTGACTCACAGTTAAAAGTGTACAAAATAAAACTGATTCCATTCAAACAGCAGGCCTGTATGCAGGGGTGTGTGGGTGAAGGATGAGAATGCACCCTCTTATGGTCCCCCACATAAGCATGTTCTAGCCAGCTGGGGGAAGGCAGGAGTGGCATGCTGCCCAAGCCTCCCTCGCCCATGCTCCTGTGGCAGGGGCGGGAGGGGGGTTGGTGGCGAGGGAAGGAGAGAGAAAGGGTTGTATGTGGAAATCAGCCCCAGCCTTCCCCTGGCCTGCCAGAGCATGGGGAAGGGAGGCTTGGGCAATGCACCGCTCCTGTTCTCCCCCAGCTGGCCAGAGCACACTTACTTGGGGGATCATGGAGGGGTGTGTTCGCACCCTTGCGGTCTACATTTACAAAAAAAGCACCCTGCCCCCCGAAATTCCTGTGTAGAGGCCTGAACAGGAACATTTGTGAACTTCAAGGATTGTAAACTGTTTCTGACAAAGACTTGACAAATGTGTTTCAAACAGAAGACCGAAGAGTTAACACTCCTAGAAGAGGCTCAGTGGTAACCTTTGTCCAGTACTGTCACTTCCCACAATATATGATTCTCACCACACTTGGTGTTTTTCTTAAAAAACCTGGAACTACTGTGTTCCTTTTGGATTTCAATTAGAGGCACTGTGTTTCTCTCTTTCTGATCTCTTTTTAGTGAACTGTATTTACGTCTACAGTGGCGTGTTCTCATGCAAAGACTCTTCCAGAAGAGAGCGTCTACACTGGCATGTGCTTTTGCGCAAGAGATGTGCTTTTGCACAAGCGCATCCATGCCAGTGTAGAGGCTCTCTTGCGCAAGAAGGCTCCAATGGCCATTTTAACCATAGGTTTTTATTGCGCAAGAAATTCATGTTGCCTGTCTACAGTGGCCTCTTGCGCAAGAACAGTTGCGCAAAAGGGCTTATTCCTGAGTGGGAGCGTCAGAGTTCTGGTGCAAGAAGCCCTGATTTCATACATTAGAATGTCAGTTTACTTGTGCAAGAACACACGGCCAGTGTAGACAGGCAGCAAGTTTTTGCGCAAGATCGTGCCAGTGTAGACACAGTCTGCATGTTTTGTTAGTCTATAAAGTGCTACCGGACCATTTGTTGTTTTTTTCTGTAACAGACTAACTTGGCTACCCCCTGAAGCTTGTATTTACTGAGCCATTCTTAGTAATACAGACCTAAAGCCATGAATACTAGGAAAAATATTTGAATTATGCATAATGTTTTATTATAATAAAATGGCCAATGTTATTCTGTCATGATGTCCCAACTCACTATTTTGGAACTGATAGTTCACTGACAGATCTAGAAGAGGGACTTGGTAATAGGATCTTTTAACGATAACTCCTGGTTTTATTCACTATCTAAATTTACAAGATTCTTACCACGTCTTTGACATTGCCAGTTTCCTAATGTGAGAGGAAAGGATGTGTAAATATTAGAATCAGAGAAAGTTTTGATACCTGGAACTCAACAAAGAAAAAAGGTGAGGTGTTTAGAAACTTTTTAAGTTGGAAACTTGAAGCTTGGTATTTTTTCTCTTTTTTATTTAGTTTTACTTTTTTTCCTTAATATAACTTGTGTTTAAATACACAAAAGCACCTATCAGTGCAGATTTACTACATCTACTCTGTTCACTAAATCTAACTTGCATGAATAAGATCACTGCATGATATTATTGTGCCATATTTGCTGTAATATTTGGATATCAGAAGTCAGTTGAGAATATGGTGAGAGCTCAGATTTCTTTCCTCTTCAGGGCTGAGCATGCTGCTTTAAGCAGCATGTGTGGTAATTTTCTGGGTCCCTTCATAATAATAAAATAAAATAAAATATAATAATAATTTAAAATGTAAATATAATCTCATCATGCAAGTGTATGAGAATATCTTATAATGTGTACTGCTGATCACAGATCCCTCAGAATTCACCTTTTTAAACAATGACTCAGTAAGGACTCATGTTGCTTACTGACATGAACATAATCTTCAAGTGTTGCTTTATATCATCTCTATGATGAAAGTTCTTGTCTGACCTGTCATGGGCTCTAGAGGTTAATTTAGTTCTGAAAATAAAAAGCAAATCAGATAAGAATATTTGAGCACACAAATACAGGATGAACCTCTCTAATCCAGGGTTTCCTCAGGACCTGACCAGTGACAAACCAGAGAATTTGCCAAACCACGGGTAAATTCTCTGGTTCAGCACTAGTCAGGTCAATAGTGTCTAGCAGGATTACCAACACTTCCACTGCTTTCTGGGCTCTTAGAAGACATTCCAGGGTAAATTTAAACTAAATAACAGCACAGAACATTGAAAGTTAGGACTAGTGGCTATAAACAAACTTTATGGGACCATGGGAAACTTGGTCACACCCATGATAAGTGGACATCCAGCTATCTAAAATCATGCTGGAACACAGATATTGCTGGACCAGAGAGTGTCAGACTAGAGAGAGTTCAACCTGTACCTAAAAGAAAAAAAGCGAACCTGTTTATTCAGGGACAGTTTATGAACCCTTTACTCTTTCATTGTGGCCTTCCCAGTATTGCACACAGTACTGATGTTCTTTTCTCAGACTGAAGAGCTGATTTTTTTTTTCTGAAAGGGAGTATTTATAAAATAGGAACACTTGCACATTTGTATCCTCTTTTATAATTCAGGTGTTGTGAATAGATTTGTGGTTGACAGACTGCCCACATGAGGGAAAGGATTAAAATTAAAGGCATGAATTATTCAGCAGATGAGAAGGTGTACCTGTCAGTATCATTTTGAATATGCTGCGTTTACGACCCAGTCTCACTCCCATCAACGTCAATGGCAAAACTCTCATTGACTTCCAGGGGCATAGAGTAAGTGTAGTTTTTTAATGTGGTAGATGCTGTATAAACGATAAGCTTTTAGAGCATGGACCATGTCTTTCTATCTAGTTTAAGACCAAGTGCAACAAGTGAATATAGCAAACAGTAGGCAGAACATGAAAAAGGAGGATGAGATTAACTAGAGTAGGAAATAAATACATATTATGCATTTATACAGGCTACCTGTTGCATAAGTTTGTAACTCTGTATATTATAGTATCTTTGTTCTAAACATCAGCACTCTTTGCTGTTTTTCTGCTTAGCCAGGGTGGGGAACCTTTTTTGGGACAACCCACACAAAAATCATGTGGGGGCCAGACACAAGTGAGAAGCAAAAAGAAAAACCCAAACCCTCATTGATGTGGCCCCTGACTGAGAAGGAGAAAAACACTCCGCAGCACAGTCCCCTCACACACCAGAGCCTAGGGGGACCCAGCCTAGTAGATTTTGTGTGCTTCAGCCCCACAAGGGGATGGATGGAGGATTGGAGCACCAGTGCAGGCTCCCCAGTGCTGAGAGGGGAGGGGCACTGAGCCTAGGGGGCCGGATCCAGGCAAGCTGGGGGCCGCATCTGGCCCCCAGGCCTTAGGTTCCCCACCCCTGGCTTAGCCATTATCTGTTGATCTCTTGAGGACACCTGTAGGAGTGATTGTTAAGAAGAACTGAAGGACAGGTGAGTAACTTTATGCAATGGTTCAGAATGAATATTCAGAAGCACGAACAGAAGCGCACACACACATTCTAGTGGGTGAACCAGACTGTTGGCATTCAAGGTTGGTATCGTTGGTGATTAGGATGTAAACTTCATTTAAACATGTAACCATGTAACTGCTAAGAATCAAAGTGGTTACACATGCTGTGGGCTCTGCAGTATAAAGCTTAAATAAGTTTATACTGTAAAGTTTAATAAGCTTTATACTGTAGACCCCATAGCAAAGCCTCCCCAGGATTAGGGCCGATAGGTGGTGCTGCTGGCCCTGCTCCCATGGAGGCTTTGCTGCAGGCTCTGCAGCCGGCTCCCAAGGAGTGGGACCAGCAGCTCCTGCTGGCTCTGCTCCCAGGGAGCCAGCGTCTAACCTGCAGTGGGGGAGGGAGGGAAAGGGAGGCCAGGCCCAACACAGACAGGCCCACCACCAGGCCCTGTGGTGCTGGAGCAGAGGAGGGTGGGGCTGGCGGGAACTGCTTTAGGCCCTCCGGGATAACTAGAACCAGTAAGCCTCACCCATTAAGGGTGAGGCTTACCAGTTACTCATTTATATGCCTAGTTGGTGGGGTGTGTGGTGAGGAGTGGCAGAGCAGATTTAAGAGCAGATAACTAGGGAGGAACAGAGTTTTGAAAGGGATTGGAGCAATGGAGTTTGGATGAGGAGCTAGTAGGGCCTTCAAAGAGGAGTGACTTGGTCAT